TTCCTTTCATTAGAAGGGCAAGCTCCTCTTGCTTTCAAGACCCCAAGAAGGCATTGCTCTGATGATACAAGCTGACTCTCTCAGGTGCCTTGAGTTCAACCTAGATCTTTCATGGATGTTGGAGTGTTGTTTTTATATCCATTTTGTCCCTTGAGACTGTTCTGAGAGCCATGGAGCCATGGTTTACTTCTCTAATGTCTTCTGGTGTGGTTGAGCTAGTTGTAAGTTACAAAGCAATTTTAACAGGATATGAATGCACACAATGTGTCTTTCTTTTTAATAAAAAAGAGACAGAGAAAAACTAGATTATATGTATAAATGATCCATAATTTAAAAACATTAACACTTTGTTGTATTTGTTTAAAATCATTTTATTAATCAATCAAATAAAACTACATATACTGTTAGAGTCACACTTTCTTCCATCCTTCCAAGAAGTAATTGATATTGTAAAATTGATGTGCATCTTTCAGTACCCATTATAATTTTTCTATAAATATATGTATCTAAAATTATATATATAGTATTATTTCATATGCTTAAAATTATACAAATGGCATTATACAGTATCTTTCTACAAATTGCTTATTTCACACAACGTTAGGATTCTGTGAATAGTCTAGACTGAGTATAGAGACCTAGCTCACTCATTTTTACTGCTTTATAAATTCTATTATATAAACACATGACATATTATTTATTCAAAAACCTACATGGCAAACATCAACCTTACTGTTGAAACATTGACCATTAAAATCAGAAACAAGACAAGTATACACTGTATCATCAACACTGTTGTTCTGAAGGTCTTTGACAGTGCAATGAGATAAGAAAAAGAAATAGCTGGGGCGCCTGGGTGGCTTAGTCGGTTAAGCGTCCGACTTTCGCTTAGGTCATGATCTCGCGGTTTGTGGATTCGAGCCGCGCGTCCGGCTTTGTGCTGACTGCCAGCTCAGAGCCTGGAGTCTGTTTCAGTCTGTGACTCCCTCTCTCTCAGACCCTCCCCTACTCACGTTGTCTCTCTCTCTCTCTCCTAGAAATAAATAAAACATTTAAAAAAAAAAGAAAAGAAAAAGAAATAGCTATCAAATATTGAATAGGAAGAGATAAAACTGTAATAATTTGTAACCTGTCTACTTAAAAGGAAGAAAAAGAGGCAAAATAATAAAATTAATGAGAGTTCACGAAAATGACTGTAGAATGGCAATTCTCCATTAAGAGCTTTTATACAAATCAATAATAATTAGCCCTTAAAAGATTTATTTTGAAAGGGAAATATATATGTATATATAAAAGTACAAAATTCAAAAAGGAAAAAACTTAAAAAATGAGTATCTTATTATTTCCTTTGCAATCTAATATATCTGTCAGGAGGCAGAAACTGCTATGCCTTTCTTTGTATATGATTACAAAAATAATTTATACAATATTAGAAACTGTAAAATTATGTTACTGATGCAACACAATATAAAATATTTGTGAAAATATGAAACAGCAGGGTTTATACAACTTGCTTTTCTCACCCACAAATAAAGTAATTTTGGTGAGGGAAGAAACCAGTCCCCACTTTCCCATGTTGTTAAAGTAAGCCGGGGGAAGCGGTCCCTATGTTTCCTGTGAACCAGGATACGTCCTGAGAAGGAACCTGGGGCAGAGGCCTGTTCACAAGCACCAGTACACACCACGTTGCTAACACACACACCACCTGCCATAGGGCCCCCCAGTGAGCTGAGGGTCCCTGAGTCAGTTAGGAGTCCCTGGTAGAAAGGTGTGCCTCGGGAGACACTTCCCACTGGGAAGCCACAGAGGGGATGCTCGCTGGGTGCACAAAGATCCCAGATGTGCCACACTGCAGCACTGAGAATGGAGTGCTAAATGGTGCTGGGTTAATTTGCTATCCCTTTGGGGAAAGAAATCAAGTTGGATCACGCCTCCCACCTTGCACAAAGGTAACTTCCAAGTAGGTCTGTGAGACCCTTTAAGTGGAAAAGTATGAAGGAATTAGGAAGCCCTATAGGAGACTCTTTTTGTAATTGGGGTGTGAGGGAGGACATCCTAAGCCACACACAAAAACAAGAGGCAATGAGGGACAAGAAGCCTGCCTTCAGGGCCAACAGGAGGCCAAGAGCAAAAAGGAGGGAAGTGACAGGGTGTGAGGTGGTGCATGCAGCATGTGTAGCAGACAAGGGGATTGGCCAGTCCTCTGCAGGACTGTCCTCAACTGTGGTGTGGCACCCATCTGCATCTTAGACCAACCGGTGGCCCACCTCCAGAAGGGAGCCTGGAGCCAGCGCTGGCCACAGTTGTCAAACTCTAAGCTGAATGGTGCTGTGGCGGCTTAGAGATCGACTTGGTGAGGGCTGTGCCTATCTGTGGGTGGCACATCAAAGTGAGGGGATTATGGTTGAAACTGCTTTGAGAGTGGCACATAGGGCCCCAGGGAGGATGCAGAGTTTGAGACTGGTGGTATCCGCTGGGAAGCTGGACGTCTGCAATCTCACGAACCACTTAACGGGGGCAGGGAGAGGTCAAATCACAAACTCCCCAGGAGAGGTAGCAAGCTGGGGAGGGCACTGGGAGCTAGTGTGCAAGACAGTACCCACAGGCACCAAATGTAGATGTAATCATGAGTTGAATAAGAAGCAGAACCAGGGCTTTTTGGGAGCTGGAAGGCAGTCTGTGGGGGCGGCTCCAGATTTAGCCAAGAGGCAGGCGAGGCTGGGGCGGGCCCCATCAAGGCAGGGCCCTTCCCCACAGAGTGTGACAAGCTCAAGCTTTGATGACCTTGTCAAATATTTCCCATGGGGAAGCCCAGAAAGAATCTGTTAGTTGCAGCAGGCAGGGAGGCAAGTTTGGTGCCCGGTGGTCCCATGCTGTTTCATTCTGAATTAGGTATGAGAGGAGGCACCATGGTCTTTCTGGTGCTGAAAGCCTCTGAATGTCTTAATCAGGCCCTGAGTGGCAGGCATGCTCCTGAGTCCCCTCCACTGCCTCTAGGGCTCCTGCCCTGGCACAGCAACCAACCAAGGGATGAAGGGCAGACCAGAGGCCTGAGCTTCCAGACACAAGGAGTGTTTTCTGGAAGGCAGTGCTAGCAGATGCAGAGGAGGCTCTTGAGTTGGGCCAAGATCACACCCTTCGATGCCAACAGGCTTTCCAGGGACAGAAAGTTGCTCAGGAGATGGGCAGAAAGTCTCCAAGACCCTCCCTGAGTTAGAAGTCAGCTGTGGCCTAAAAGCGCCAAGTGCCTGCCTCGGAGATGGAGGACAAGTGCCTGTGGCAGCACTCGACTGGGGATTTGGTAGAGCGAAGAGGAGAAGGGACGCGCGTGTTAATTTGGGACCCCGAGCCAGGAGGAAGGAGAAAATCTTTTCTGCCTTTGTGCTGAGATGAAAGAGAATGAGCATGAGGGTGTCGCTGAAGACAGCATTGGCCAAGCAGGTTCCACTGGGACAAGTGGATGTGGGCCGTGTCTGCACGGCCATTCTACTTGGGAAATAGATTGCTCTGTCCACGTGAGGCTGGTTTGGGAGAAAGAGGTGGTCACATTAGTAACCCTTAAGCATTATGACAGGGCCCAGCAGCCAGCAGAGGAAGAGACAGAGCGCGGGGAGGGGGGCAGGGTTTCCCAGGGTGAGCCCTGCTGGGGTGTGGTGTCACAGCAACCACAAGTCACATGCTGGCCATCCAAGGCGCCAGTGCCTGGGAAGAGGCAGTGTCCCCATTGCAGGTTGGAAGATTTCCTGGCACCTGGCAGGTGCCCATACCTGCTAGTCAGCCCAAAGCATGGGGCGGGTGGGTACAAGTCTTAGAGCTGTAATCCACCTGCAACCCAAACTCCAGGAAGAGGGAGAAAAAGTAAAACTGTGCTCTGTGTGGAGGAGAGCAGTCTGAAGGCAGAGCACGCACAGAGTGCTGGTGCCCAGGGCACAATGGCTCAGAGCAGCATGCCAGGGAGACCAGGAAAGGGCACCAGGCACAGAAGCAGCTCTTCCCAAGGGAAGCTTCTTGTTGAGAGTGTTGGCCAGGGCTCTGAGGAAGAGGACGAGTGCTTGACACACCAACAGCCCTCAGGGAACCCGGCTTTGGTGATGCAGGGGCCAAGGTGCTGCTGAGAGGGGTCTGGCAGTGTTGACAGGGGTGGCAGCGTGACCTGCCCAGATCCACGGAGTGATTCAGTGCACAGGGCTGGGTTCCTCCTTTCCTCCAAGGGCTGCCAGGAGCTTGGATGGAGGCAACAGAGATGTCTCCCCTGGAGATGGACCTGCCATGCCATGCCACCACCCTCAGCATCCTCCCTACCACCCTAATGGGGAGTTCATGGAGGGCTCTGCTGGCCCTTTCTTGGGTTTCACCCAAGGTACCAGGGAAAGGGCAGAAAGGAGGTTCACCCAGAGGAGGCAGGGGCCAACCCTTCTCGCTCTGCCAGGAATCTGGGCTTGGGGTCCCAAGGAAGGGAAGGGGCCTGGAGGTAAGTTTAACAGCCACTTTGCAGGAGAGGCAGAACTACACAAAGTGAGCACTCGGAGAGTAGCAACCATCACCGTTATACTAGTGCGTGGAGTGCACAGGGATGGGTTGTCCCGTGGTCCTCAAGGACGTGTACAAAAACCCCAAGGATACTGACCTTCCTATCTAGGCTGGCAGTCAAGGAAAGAGACCTTCACCAAGGGATTTCTCTGCTCCAGGTGCCAGGCACTGTGCCACCTGCTTCACAGGTGTTGTCTCGTTCAGTCCTCCCAACACTCCATCCTGATTCCACTAACCCCACCTCCACTCCCCCGCTTCCACTCGCAGCCCCCCAGGCCCTTCTTGAAGCTTATCCTGAGCGCTGCAGCCCACCTCTACCCTGCCTCCCGTGAGCACTGATTAGCATGTATTTGTCAGGGAGCAAACAAAGGCCCCAGTTAGTTAGCATGGGTTGGTGTCGGCCCGGTCGCATATTTTTGTCTTCCTCTTCATGTAGACTGTAAACTCAAGGACAAGTTCCATGTCTCACCTTTGCCAATCAAAGCACACAACTTTATTGGTGATACATACAAACGTAGGCTTGGGTGGATAAGGTTAAGTCAGTACAGCACATAGAAGGGGGGTGTACTTTTTTGATGAATAGGTTGACCATCCATCAGCTCGCACAGAAGAAGGAGTAAATGAGAAAGAATTCAACCTAAGCGGCAACAAATGCATTTTCAGCACAACCTCTGATATGTGTCTGGTCTCCATAAAATGGTCCCGCTTAGACAGGGAGACCACCACCGGCAAGGCATCCCTCATGATGCTATAATAAGATGTTCTGTATCCACAGCTGGCAGCTGAAATGATCCCTTTACCACAGGAAGAAGGCTGCAAGGGGGTGACTGACAATACACATTGCCTGCGGACTGCAAAACCAAGAAGTTACTGAAAGCCCCGTGGGAACTCCTGCCTGGCCAATAATTTTTTTTTAAATGTTTTATTTATTTTTGAGAGAGAGAGAGAGAGAGAGACAGTGTGAGCAGGGGAGGGTCAGTGAGAGAGGGAGTCACAGCATCTGAAATAGGATCCCCTGCCTGGCCAATAAGAGTGTGGTCCTCAATTTAGCAAGTGTAACTTTCACCCCATGATGTGGTGATGGGTTAAGGCTGGATCTTCAACAGCACCCACTGCAGGTTCTTTGAATGAAAACACAAGTGTGTGTTCATCAGAAGGGTCTTGGGCAGATTCAGTTCCATTCTGTTTGAGATAGCCATTTAAGAGGCCAGGGTGTCCAGGAGAACCTGTGTGTTTCCGTTCCTCATGAAGAGGGACATGAAGGAGAGCAGCATTTGGGCATCCAGCAATTCCCCTGCCAAGACTGGCTTTTCAGACAAACCCATCACCAGTTTCAAAACCTGAAGCTCAGCACATCCACTTCCCTCTGCTATCAAAGGAAACTTCAAGTCTGAAACGGACTTGGCAAGCATGTTATTAATAATGGTCATGCTTATTAACAAATTTAATCCGGCCTGCTGCAGAAATGACTTGCAGCAATGTGACACAGTTTCCCGACACACTTCATTGATGTACATCTTAATCTGGCCCTGATTTTCAATACTTGCATTCAAGTTATCCAGAGCACATAAAGCTTTCTCCTTAATAGCAGGGTCGGGAGTGGGGATCGTGTTTCCAACAATGCAGAGGCTGGCCAAATGACTATTGATATCGTGGCTAAATGAAAAACTGGCATCCTTGGGCTGAGCAAACCACATTTTCCCCTGAATGGAACGACACTTGGAGAGGTCACGAACACAATTGAAGTTTGCAAATACCTTAAGCATCACAAAATTATGCGATCATTTTAATTTGAAAAAGAGTGATTCATCTTTATTGGAACAGTGTCCTCTTCAAGCAGCTCTGTGGGGTTTTTTTGTTTTGTGTGTGTGTGTGTGTGTGTGTGTGTGTGTGTGTTTGTTCGTTTTTTTTGTTTTTTTACTGCTTATGGTTCATTCAGCCTCATACCATGGGCTTTGCTTTTCCTTGATCTTTGACTAAATTCAGAACCCTTAACTGTCCTCATCTTATGTGAAGCTCCCTACTCTACTGGTTTTCTTTAAGTGTGGTTGCACCTTCCTCCACTTATGGGTAACACTAATAAATTTGACCCCTTACCTCCAGATCTGTTTTCACTAAACCTATTTGAGCACATCTTACATTTATGACAAGTCACAGAAGGTTCACCGTCTTGTTAAAGCTACCTAGTTTTGGTGATTTCTGAACATTCTTTTCCTGGACACAAAAGGCACTGTCATCTAACGTTGAACCAGAGGAAATGAAAATGAATAGATACTTTATCTGAGATTAATCAGGTGGACATGTCAAAACTGAGAACACAAGCAAAATCAGTATCTTTCTTTACTTATTGAGGGTCTTTATTTTCAGAATTCCTTCTCTGCCTTTTACCTCCTTTAAACTCATTCCCACTGTTTCTTCAGAGGTAAAACATTTGACTTTCCCAACACAAAGTAAAAAAAAAAAAGGCTCAGAGCAAAGACTCAAAGTAAAAAAGAAGGCTCAGAGCAAAGACTCAGAGAGGAAGAATCCGAGTTGCCTTTAGACCCTGTATTCTGACTCAGACATCTCTATCCCTACCCCATATCTCCAGGATATCACACTGTGTGGAACAATTTCCTTCCTTCCTTGTCTAGATTTATGTCTACAGGTAGACAGACAAGAGAGAATGGAGACTGGCAGATTACTGGCACATAAGATCCCTCTATTCCGGGGTGAAAAATCTAGTTTCAAATGTCTCCTATTTAGGACTCGGGCACTCCCTGCACCCTGTGCTCCAGACACTTTCATCACCCACCCACCCCCATTTTTACTTTTTCCATTTCTTTGACACTCTCTTGACCTTGCTCTCTCCCCTCATATGCCCAATTTTGTGCTTTCTCCCTCATTTCTGCCCATAGATTTTGTCGCTGCTTCCCTCAGAGCCAAACAAGATTGGGATTAAGTATTGCTTTTCTGAAGACAAGATTGAAGTGGAAAAGTGGGCTCTGGTTGCGAGCTTGCCTCTACCACCCCCTTGTGGCTTGTTTAGGCCCCATATTTCCTTTAAGAAACAAGTTTCTACTGGTTTTGGTTTGTACTAAATATCATACAATACTCTTTCTCTTCCTTTCCCTTGGGTTGTGTTGCCTCTTACAAACAAGGAAACCAAAAGATAGTGGTTGGTGAACATTTAGTTCTGGATGATAAACCATAATTCCTACCTTTTACTGATTCAGAACTCTGTCAAATAATTCTCACTTTTCACTCCTATATCCCAGCATCAGCTCTCCCTCTGACACCATGCACCATTTAGACAATAAAAATGAGCTAGTGAGTAGCCTGGGTAGTGTAGGAAACATGACTCTGCCCCTTCAGGTCTCTGCCCCCACGCCCACCCTGACCTCAAAACTCCCCAGGTAATGCCCATTCTCACACCAACTTGCATACAACCAGAGAAGTTTCTTCCTTCTTCACTCAACTACAAACACATCTCTAAAGTCAACAGGGAGCTGATGGCTGGACCAAAAAGACCACCTTTTCACAATTTCTTGTCACCTGAGATACACATCACCAATAAGCCATGGTCCACAAGCTCCCTTTCCATGAGCAGTGATTCAAGAGTGTGCTCACTTGTCTCTCTTCCCCTAGCACACCAAACCTGTTATCCATTTTTTTGTCACTCTTAAAAGACAAAAGAAAATTCATTTCCATTTTGTTAAAAATTGCCTTTTCTACTTTCCAAGAAAGAAATCTGTCTTCTCCTGGAGCAACTATTTCTCTTTATATTTTCTGTCTTCTTCTAGAATACAAAGCAGTAGTCCATCTCTTCATTTCCCCTCTGCTCACATTCCCCATCTGTGATGCTGAAAAAGCTCAGCAACTAGTATCCATCATCTATCTCAGATCCAGGAGAAAGCAGATTTCCCATGAAAGAGAGGTTTGAAATAATTATTTATTGCTTCTGTTCATTTTTCTTGGAACTACTAGATTTAAAAAAATATTTGTACATCATTTTACATATTTAGGGAGCTTTCTGCACTGACTTTTGCCAAAATGTCACCACTGGTTATTTCTTAGGATAAGATTTAAGACAAAACACATTCTAGCTGCAATGTCAGCTGTTAAGGTCAATGGGACATAGAGATGAACAGATGTGTCTCTTGGACAAGACCACCTGGCTTTCCAGACAGGCCCCACAAAGTAGTACTTATCTTGCTGAGTTTGCTACACTCCAGGATCCAAATCTTAATTTTGTCTTCAGTCCAAAAATATGTAAAATTATAACCTTACACACAACAGAAATGCATGCATATGTTAACCAAAAGACACATATAGGAATGTTTATAGCAACTTTATTTGTAATAGTCCCAAACAGGAAATATTCCAAATATCCATCAACAGTAGAATGGATAAATAAAATATAGTATATTCAAAAATAACAATGAATATCATACATGCAACAATATGGAATAATCTCACAGACTATGTTAGCAAAATAACAGAAAAGAATATATACTGTGTGATTGTATTTACATAAAATTTAAAGCACACATACAAAATTAGTCTATGGTGTTAGAAATCTGAATGGTGGTTACCCTTGGGATGCATTATAGACTGGATGGGGGATGAAGGAAGCTTCCACTATGCTGTTAATGTTTTGTTTCTTGCTTGTTTTATGAAAATTTATTGAGATGAACACTCAGGATTTGTATACTTTGCTGTCTATATGGTATACTTTAACAAAAATTTACCAAAAGGCCTCAATGGTGAATTATAAAAATGGGAGATGAGTAAATGAAACCAATCCTTCTGCTAATCTGGGTAAACAAGACAAAACATATTTTTAAACTTCTCTGAAGACACTAGAGGACTAACAAGATAGTGAAGACTAATTGGTTCGAAATGAGATTGGGAGAAGTTGAGCTTAATGTTAGAGCCATTTTTCCCAAATGAGCATATACAGTTATTGAGGGGACTGTTGAGAGGTTATGCAGAATTTTGTACAGCCTTTGGAGGCTAGGGAGAAAAATATTAGAATCAGAATTGTGCCAAGAATTGTACCTGATGAAGCCCAATGTCTTTGGATTGTGATACTGAGAAAGCTGCACTTCAGAGTCAGAATGAACAAAAGGTAGACAGGATATCACAAAAATATCAGTTTAATTTTGAATAATCTCAATCACTGGAAATTAGAATAAAGTATCCAGAGTGTTAATGCTCCTAGATGCCTAACAGTGCAAATACAAATTTTCTTTGGTGGAAAACAATGTCATCCTCAAATTATTGCTGAAGTTGTATAAAATACAATATCTGGTACACAATAGAAAAAGTACACAAGAAGACAAGACGAAATTAACAGAAATCATCAGAAATGATAGACAATAGAAAAAGACTCATTGGGGCCTCAGATTTAGAGTTATCAGACATAGATTTTAAATACATATGCTTACTATGTTTAAGGAGATAAAGGACAGGGGTACCTGGGTGGCTCACTCAGTTGAGCTTCTGACTCTTGGTTTCGATTCAGGTCATGACCTCATGGTTGGTGAGATGGTGCCTCAGGTCGAGCCCTGGCTGATGGTGCAGAGCCTGCTTGGGATTCTCTCTTTCTTCCTCTCTCTCTGCCCCTTCCCTGCTCATGCACAGGTGCTCACTTGCGTGTGTGCTCTCTCTCTCTCTCAAAATAAATATACAAACTTTTTAGAAAGGAGATAAAGGACAATACAGAGAATTTCTGAAGATAAATGGTAGCTATAAAAGAGTATAAAACATAAATTCTAGAAATGAAAAATTAAAAATCTTAAGAACTAAAAAAAGAAGTTATTGGACAGGAAGGTAAGTTGAAAGAAACTAGAATGAATCCCATCTATCCAGAATGAAAAAATTAAGAATGGATAAGAGACAGAGAATACAGACTGAAGGTTTAACATATGTGTACTTGAATTTCAAAAAAAAAAGGAAAAAATGAAATTTAAGAAGAAAGGAGAGAATGAATGAAGCAGAAGTAATATGGGAAGAAATAATTGTTCAGTATTTTCTTAACTTTGCAAAACATCAAGCCACATTTAAGAATCCTTTCAAATCTGAAGCAAGATCAATTTTAGAAAATCACATGTATTCATATTATAGTAAAACTGCTGAAAACCAAAGACAAGGAAAATATCTCAAAACAGCCATAAAATAAAAACCTTAGATCACCTTCAAAGGAGCAAAAATTAGACAGATAGCTGACTTCTCAACAGGAAAAATTAGAGCCAGACTATAGAAGAATATTATTAAAGTGCAGAAAAGAGATTAATGTCAATTTAGATTTATATTCCCAAAGACAATACCCTTTACCAGTATAAGTGAAATAAAGACGTTCTCAGACAAAAATACATATATCAGTAGCAAATTCAAGTATGCCTGGCTGGCTCTGTCACTGGGGCATGTGACTCATGATATACATATATCAAATTCATTCTAGAAGAAATACTAAATGTTATTCTTCACGCGTAATGAAAATTTATCTTCCTACAAAGCAGGAAGAAAAGAAGTAGAAAGGAAAATGTAAATATGTGAGTCTTGACTGTATGAAACAATTGTAAGAATTCTTAAAATATTGAAATATAAAGAGAAATAAGTTGGAAACATATATAAACTTGGAATGCATGACAATACCATATAAATTTAGATGAGGGTAAGTGGAGTTGGTTTCATAAATCCTGTGAGTTCTCCGAGAAAAGGATAAAAGGATTGATTCATAGCAAACTTTGAAAAATCAAGAATGCATGTTGTAATGTATACG